AAACATCTAAATTTCATTAATTAGAGCGAAAAATTTTGTATCTTAAACATACAAGTTGAAGTTTTACTAGAATTTTCACAAAAATCAAACATAACCTTTTAGATATAGTCCTTGCGAAAAGTTTTCAGTTAAAAAAAATTAGAATGAGAGGCGCGATATCAAGGTGAATCATTTAGAATTTTGTGCTTTTCTTATTAATTAAATAAAGCAAAATAATATTTAATCGATCATTTTAATTTCGTTGCTAAAAAAATCTGATCATTGTAAAAATACTAATATTGCTAAAATAGTTTTGATTTATTTAGTTGAGTTACCACCCTAGTACGTATGTTCAATGATGTTATGTGATATTTTGCAAAACTGATTACATAATTTCATGCAAAAAATATCATGGCAAAAAAATTTACATGATCCTATGAAATGTCGGATAACTAATATTTGTATGCTTCAACATTTTAAAAATTTAAGGGTACATTTATTCCTCACCCGGGTGAATTATTCACCCCTATAACAAAATTTGAAAAAATGCCAATATCTCAAAATTTTACTAAGATAACCCTGTCATATAATATAAGCAAAAAATTTCTCTCATAATTTTACTTTGGGCTTACCCTAACTCTAAATTTAACCCTAATATATTATTATGACCAGGGTCTCCTATTGTACTTAAGGGGGTGAATAATTCACCCGGGTGATCAATAAATTATTTCAAAATTTAATACGTAGTGAATTGTAAACCTCACTTAAGCTTAGTATTAGAGCTTAAGGGTTAGGGTAGGACGATGGTTTGTACTAAAATTTCATGAGATTATTTTGTTAGAACCTAAAAGGCAGTTTCATAGTCGATATTTTTAAAGAAAGTTATAATTTTACACTACGCCTGATCTTATTATTCTGATTAACTTTTCTATATATAATATCCGTGTATTATACACTAGTGTACAATAGAAATTCTCTCAGAAAAAAGTATTGTACTATAGAAATTCTCAGAAAAAGTATTGTACAATAGAAATTCTCTCAGAAAAAAGTATTGTAAAATGGATTTTTTAGCATTATTCCAAATTTGGGGATGGCTAAAGCCTTGTACCCACGTGATTTTGACGGTTTAATCGGGTTAATTAAAATCAAGGTTAGGATTAGGGTTAGTTGGGTGTTAATATAAAGAGAGAGGTAGAGGTAAAATTGCCTTCCCGCATTTTTAATTGGTTCCCCAAGACAGGTGTAAACTGCCATTTTTCGTCTTTTTGCGTTTTCTTTATTTTTTTGACTTCTTAGGGTGGTTGGTCGATTTACATAAAACAGTCATGTGAGGTACATGACCCCATACTTGAGACGTAAAATCTCCGTATTATGTAATTACAGAATTAGTACCGTATAGCGTTGCATATAGTATCCCCCCATTACAATTACATAATTAAAGGCACGATCATTTCATTTGGTTTGATACGTCTAATAGCAATGTATACATTGACCAATAACGATTATTTGTATTATCCTCTCATCTCTCAATATTTTTGGGGTATTATTCAATCTAGGCCGGCTTTCTTGAATAGTACCCGGGGTACTATATGTAGCGCTATACAGTAATTAATTTCGATTCTGAGATCTTGAATTACCAAAACAAACGAATATGCGCAATATTTTTAGGTCATAAATCTTATGTTATGGTTAGGTTAATGACCAAAGGAAGGCTTATCATATCCTAAAATTTTGCAAGGTATTTTTTTTTATTAGTGCGCAGAAAGTGATTTCATAGACAAAATTGAGTTATCGGCAGTTTTTTTAAAAAAACGGTGATTTTCACGTTACATTTGAAAATGATTTCTTTTACCACCCCTTATTTGCCGTAATAATCGACATTTTTATGCCAAACATAACACATTGGTATAACAAATATACAAATCCAATTAGATTCTGATACAGCAAGAGTGCGATATTTTTGAGTCAAATATACAAGGTCAAAAAGTGGAATTTCCAAAAAGAAATTTCTATTTTTATACTATATAGTGTATGATACACAGGTATTATAAAAAGTAAATCAGTGTAGCGTATTCTGTGTACGTAGCAAAAATACCGTTCCTGATAACATTCTAAAAAAGGGCCTCTAGAATACTATACTGCTATAGCGAAGTATATGAATAAAAAACTAGGATTAGGTATTGTTTCTAGAACCCTATCAGGAACAGTGCCCAAATAATTTTTTTAACTCCAAGATCGGTACGGCCAATTCATCAGGAATAATATTTTTGCATCTGTGTACATACAGATTAGAAATTTCTTGTTGAAACAACGACCATGTTCTATTACGCGTAAATATGATATAATTTAAAATTATCCTTTCTCATTTCTCATTAAGTATTGTCGAATGAAAACAGAGAAGTCTAAATTTGGAGTAATATTTCCTTTATAGTAAACAATTTCCCGGTTTCATTTTGCGCTACCTATTTATTTGTTATTTTATTTTGATTTTCCAGCGATTCACTTTTCTATTTTTTTTTGTGCTTAGTTTCGTCTTTTACCATTTACACCTAATGACTACAGCCGCAAATAAATTATCAATCAAATTCTGAAATTTTATAGATAAAGTTATTGTCTTTAAGTTCACAAAATTTAAAGTTGCACGATTACAATATTGTGAATAAAGAGTTTGCTATATAAGTTGCTGTATCTCATCCATCTCTCGTCAAATTTTATTATTTACGATAATTGAATCTTCATTTTTGGTTTGTTTTTATTTTTATTATTTTCTAAATCGATTTTCATTATCTTTTAATGCTTTCTTGTATAGGTTAAAAATGGAATCTAAATCTTCATTCTTCGGAATTTTCTTACTTACCTGCTCAGTGGTTTTGGCCTGTTCAATGGTTTTAGCCTCACCTTTGGCTGAAAGGGCCCCTTTATGTGATGCTGTCTGTGTCTGTCAATGTGACGCCTGCGTGTTTGTCGGTTCGAATTGTACTGATACACCTTTTTGCAGTAATATCATGTACTTTTCTGGTAATTGCAGTTCTACATGTTTAGTACATTGTGGTTCTTGCAATTTTGCTTGTACTGGATGTACTGGTTCTCCACCTTTATGCCCCAGTTGTACTCGTAGTAGTTAAATGCTAATGAGACTTTAATCACGTACTCTTTTGTGATTGCTATTATTTTATCAATTTTTTTATTATCTATTATTATTTATTAATTATTATCAATTATTTATCACTGTATCTTTATTTTCCACTCTTATTCATTTACTGTAAAGTTTTTATTATTCAGCTTATGACTAATATTTAGTTCTGTCCGTCAACATATAATAAATTCTTGTAAGTATAAAAACTTAAATAAAATCCTTTGTTTTCCTTCCATTGTCATTGATTATTATATAATGAAAATTTTAGTAACAATTGTATAATTAAATTTGCATTTGTAAAATTTGGCATCCTTATAAGCATATTTGAATTTTAGAATCTTTTACATTTTCAATAGAAGTCTGACTCGTTGAATAATATAATCGAATATTTAATAGTTATTGGATGTTTCACATCCAATAACGAGAATTTCTGGCACCCTACTATGATCGGGACTACTAAATAACTTCAGTTATTTGTTATTTTTTTTACACGTTGTTTTTTTAACCGTTAATTTTTTATACATTAAATTTTTAAATGTTAATTTTTTATATGTTAAATTTTTAAACATTAATTTTTTATACATTAATATTTATATGTTACTATTTAACCCACTATAATATTTTTTACTGAAATGCGGAAGATCATATCCGAAACCGTTTATGATCTGTTGTGAAATTAGTTATTTATTGGTTGCACGTCTACCCGTGATCCGCCACATTTCCTTTTTGACTAAAACGGATAAGATTTTCGTCTAAAAATTTTATATTATTTATTACATGCGCTACATGCGCTACATGCGCTGAATGCGCTGCATGCGCTGAATGCGCTGAAGATTAATTCTATATGCATAAGCCCCCCAAGATTTTTTTATCGTATTCGGTTTGTATTTATAATTTTTGGTTGGTCACGTGAATTATGTTACGCGAACAAAAGAGATGGGTTACTTCGTCGTGAATTTGTTTGGTATGAAACTTTAGAACTCTATCTCATTCTTATTAATTAATTTTATTATTTTTTTTATTTGAATTTTCTTAAAAAAAAATTTTTTTAATTTTTGTTTTTTTTTTAGTGGACTTGTGCCTTGGATGATGACTGATGACAGAATATTATGATTAGTCGAAACTAATAATGCTTATTCTAATCGAGCCTTTGAGTAAAAACCTTATTAGATGACATCACTCTCCGGGTTCAACTTGATAACATTAATGTACTTACAATATTATGAATATAGCGCAAATTGTGTTACTGTAAAGTCTCTAAATATTAGTATAGGCATTATTTTGATTTTCGGCACGAATTATGCTAAATTTAGCCAAAAATTTGTATTTTTACTTTGGGCGTTATTTCCTTAATTTATGTTTTGGCTGTTCAAATGTCACAAGTCTAAGCCTTGTAAATCTTATCCCAATAGGATTTGCATTTTTAGCTTTGCGTTACTCATTCTTAAAATCGACCTGCATATATTAATTTAATTTTTCCTAATATGATATTATTGTTTGATTTGATTAATGATTTACCTGTGTTTCCAAATATATCTTAAACTTTTCATCGGTTCCGATTAATTCACCGACAGTCATTTCACCGAATGCTCATTTAGCCGACATCACATAGGGTTAGGGTTAAGCATTTGATAAGTTGCAGGTATATATTTTTACTAAATTTCACCTGGGGTGTTGTCGGCGAAATGAGCTGTCGGTGAAGTGATTGTCGGTGAAATAATACGGACCCCTTTTCATAGTGATCATGTTTTTTATTTTTAAATTAAATTTTACGTCCGTTAATAAGTTGTGTTAAGTTTTATGGTACGTGTTACTTATTTTTAATAAAAAATATACTGTACTAAACATGCTTGAATATGGTAATGTTTTCTTCACTATTTTATTATTGCCGAAATTAAATACTATCGTTATTGTCATGAAGATAATGGAAATTTCTATTATTAATTCGTTATTTTAATGGTTTTTCGTTTTAATTTTAAATTTTGCTTTATAATTGATATTATTTTAAGAATCCCTTTTTCTAGGTTTAAAATAAGGGGAATTTACATATAAGGGCCCAAAAAATGAAAATAAGGCCGCTTAAAGTTAATTAGTTGGTTAACGTCATCCCCCCCTCCTCGGCCAGCTGTCCCCCCAAAAATTAAACACCAATCATAACACAGGAAAATCTTCAATAATCATGTGATTAAATCTGACCAATAAGATTCAATTAAATACTTCATGGCATATATGTGTTTGTTTAAATCTCCCCTCCCCCCCCCGCGCCTGAAGCCAAAATATTGACGTTAACCAACTAATTAACTAGAAGCGGCCTTATATTGTTATTAAAGCAATTATATAGGATTTTGTTTTTTGTTTACAAATAATTTATAATACAAGATAATAAAGCGATTATGCAAAAAGCATATACGACTAATTTTCTAAGCCTATTCACACTCCTTAATTAAATTAGAAGTGCGGAATTCTCTTAGTCTGTCTTTGAGCCTTGACAAGTTAGCATCTTATGCTTAAC